TGTGTGTGTCAGGAACTGATTGAGGAGTGCAGAGGGAGACATGGGTGACGGGGCATGAAACACCAGGTAAACCTACTTGAGGAACTTAGGCTTTCTCCTAAAGTAACCCATAAATACATGCAGAACAAAACAAGACTATAGGATTTTAACCATGAGAATTGAGAGAAGGGGAAACATGCTCCAATGATGACCCTGGGTGTTTGTAAATGCAAGGATAGTGATGTTTTCCCCCCTTTATGCTCAGTTGTCCCTTACATTTTTGGAAGCAAGTATACATGTATCCATCCCAAGCATGATCAATAAATTTTGAATTAAAAATCCCGAAAGGAAATTCTTCTAAAGGGCAACGCGTTCTAAAAGAAGCCAAGTAAGGCAATTACTCCAATCCCATCACTAAATGATGCCTGAGCCAATGATTCTAGAAAGAGCTCCTGTCATGGTAGTCACTCACTCCTTTGTGACCACTGCTGGCTTTGCCAGCTCCAACGGTGAGCAATTAAGTAATGATCAATGGAAGCCAAACTTCTAATGGGAGCAAGCAGCCTGTAACTTATGACGTGGCTGGCATGTGGGCTGAGCTTCAGGTGAAGAGAAGCCAAAGGGGAGCCATTGACTGCAGAGCACCGGCCAACGTCAGTACTGCTTTACCTCGCAGACGCGGAAAAGATGACAGCACTTAGTTTTTAGAAATAATGTCCAAGTTAGATGAAGCCTAGAGCCTGAGAGCGTCAGGCCTAAAGAGCACCCTACAAATGGAAAAGGGTTTACCCAGAAAGGGAAGTGACACCCCCCCACCCCCCATGCTCACACAGAGGGTTTAGAAAGCCTACATTGGAAAAGGATAAATTAGGGTGGAAACTCCGGGAACCCAAGAGGCTAGCGAATTTTGGGAATGATGAGGGCAACAAATGTATAGATGTGCTTTACACAATTGATCTATGTATTGTAATGAATTGTATGAGCCCCAATAAATTGGTTTTAAAAAAAATTAGGGCGGAACCATAAAGATGGGGGACAGAGGCATATACAAAATTAAATCGATTTCTAGACTCTGGCAATGAACGACCTGAAAATGAAATTCAGGAAGTCATTCCACTTACAGCGGCATCAAAAATGGATGACTTCATATCATTTTAGCAAAAGCACGTAAGCCCTGAACACTAAAAACTACAAAGCACCCTTGAAGAAACTAAAGCAGGTCAAGACCAATGGAAAGGTAGCCCATGTCTGTAGATCGAAAGGCTTAATGTTATAAAGATGTCAAGGCTCCCCAAAGGGCTCGACAGATTCAGTGAATTCCACAGCAAAAGCCCGGTTTTTCAGTAGAGATTGACAAGCTGATGCTAAAATTCATATGAGCATAGGAGAGGCTCAGAGTTGCCAAGACAATCTTAAAAAAGGAGAAACTAACAATACTCACCTATCCCAACTTTAAAACGTACTAGAAAGCGATAGCAGGAGAAAGGTAGGGCTTTCCACTCCTGTGAAAAGTTACCATCTCAGAAACTCACAGGGGCAGTGCTCCCCGTCCCACAGGGTCGCTGCGAGTCAGCATCAACTCAGTGGCAGGGAGCGAGTGAGTGAGATCAAGCTACAGTGCTCAGGATGCTACAGGATGGCACTGGCATAAGGGTAAACGAGTAAATCATGGGACAGAATTAAGAGCCAAAAAATAAATGCTTCCATGTCTGGGCAATTCTTTTTTGACAAGGATGCCAGCACTTTAAAGAGGGAAATTATCATCTTTTTTAATAGGTGATCCTGGGACTACTGGACTTGCACATGTAAAAGACAAAAGTTGGACTCCTTCCTAATAACAGGTACGAAAACTGATTCAAAATGAGTCAAGGCTAAATCCATAAAACTCTAAGGAGGAGTCCAGGAGTAACTGCGTGACCATGCCAAACACAAATGACAGAGGACATGAGATTGGGCTTCATGTCCAGTAAACCCTTCATGGTGCACACACACAGCTTTATCAGTAACATGGAAGGACACCCCATAAAGTGGGAGAAAATACTGGTAGATCACACATCTGAAAGGGAACTTGCGTTCAGAAAGCATGAAGAACTCCTACGTGGTGTTGAAAATGCCATGGCTTTCGGGTCAGACACACCTTAGTTCTCAAAGTCCTCAGAATAATAAAAAGACAAATAACCTCATTTAAAAGTGGGTAGAGGGTCTGGGGTCTTAACGGCTTGAAGAAAAACAAGCAACCATCTAGCCGAGA